ATGACGCGTTAAGGCATTTCACTTTTGACTACCTTTTTAAATACAATGCTCAAAATTATTCTTTTCATGAGTAAACTATACCAAAGGTATCAGAGAGGATTTTTCAGCTAAGAGGCTTTATTTCTAGTGAGAGTAACTTTACATGTATGGATACTGATATCAAACTTGCAAGGTCCTACTTGCACGTTTCCTTCGAGAGACTTCCCTGTCATCCTCATTATGGTAAAATGTTTATGTAAATCTATTGATTTCTGATCCATGATGATTTAATAAAGAATTTTAATCACATGGCTGACTAGGCTGTAGGATACTTAAGGTTTCTGTAATAATAATTTACCATTACCAACTCCCAACAAGGGACCTACTTAAACATATTTCACCAAATTCTAATTACATTACAGTAAGTACGTATACGGACGTGTATTCCTGGTCCCAAGTGAGTTCTCTGTTCTGGGCCTTGTTGACTGGTTTGATGCTGGATAAACTTGTTTCCAAGACAACCAAAGACGGTAATTTAAAAAAATGATGGTATTAACTGGTCGAGGTTTTAATCTGTGTCAAAATTATGTTGTCTTTTTGATTTCATACACTGCGCTTTTCGTAGCCTTTGCTAAGTATTAAAACATATGATTCATATTCAAATATCATATTTGTATTTCAGACAAAAGGCACTGCTTTGTGGTTCCATTTTTCTTGACTGTGTTGGCAGGCATCGTTGTATCCATAGCTTGTGTCATCCCCATTATCGAAATACAATCTGTGGCCATTTTATTTCACTGCATATTAAAAACCGGAACTTTCGCCGTGCATTTAGCGTTTCTGGTGGACGCGTAAGTAAATTCGGCCATACTTTCGTAGTACTTGTTTATACAATATTCTTTTTTTTTTTTGCTTAAAAATATCGATACACACTGTTAATGATATCTGCAACTTTTGCTTAGTTTGTGACCAAATCTGAATTTTTAAATCTGTTTCATCATTTATTTGAGGCTACTAATAATTCAAGGTAATTTGTGGGAATACATGTACAACATCCCAAGCAAATCAAACAAAATTTCCCATTCTAATCCTCGTGTAATCCAGGAGAAGCAAGATATTTTTTTCACTGCTACTATATCTATACACTGTATGTGATCTGTATGCAGTATTCTGATCCCTTCATGGCTTTGTCGCACATCTATAATAATAATAATAATAATAATAATAATAATAGTCATTTATAGTCTAAAATGCATATAAAATGTTCAGTAGACTTAAAATAGGTAAAATGAACAGAAAAAATTAATAAAGTCAATAAATATATAGGCAGCTAAAATATTAAGATATTGAAATAGTAAAATATATATAAATATATAGACAGTTAAAAATTAAAGATATTAAATATATAGTACAATATAATGATAACAGTCAGTTAAATCAGGTATCAACCTTATTGAGAATGAAAGTTTTTTTTTAATTTTTTTAAATTGTCCTAGAGTCTATAGTTTTTAAAATATATTGAGAGAATAGAGTCGTTGATTGGGCTTGCTTGAACTTTATTCAAGGCAGATACATGTAGATTATTGTTTTTCTAGTTGCATAAGAAGTGGCGATTTGTTTCAAAAAATGTCCAGACAGGGTTTGTCTTTCTGAGTGCCATCAATCATTCAAATTACAGATTTCCAAAAGAACACTTCGGAAAGGCATTGGGAATACAAGTCACCGTCAGTAGTTTGCTGACCTTCATAGAATTACCAATATTTTCATGGTACAAGTACAGCTTGGGCAGTGACCCAATCTGGGTATGTTTAAGAAACATTGTTGTTTATCGGTACATTATTCATGGCACCATGTATTCAGATATGGTAAAATAAGAAGATAATAGATTAGTTCCAAAGTATGTGGCCGAAGATTTTCACTAAATTATCCAATTAAGCTCGACCATAGGCTGATTTAAGTTTCGTGAAATAAATTGGCTTAAGTGAACACAGCATATAACGGGAAATCCATAGTTAAACCAGAGTAATTTGACCAACTTACGGTTGCAAAAATTTCATTGTTACTTTCCATGATATGGCATTTGATGGACCGCCTAGTTTTACAGTAATATACACGGCACATGTACACTGATGACACATTTCTTTTGCAGTTGGGAGTACTATTTCTGGGAATATGCTGCACGGCCAGCTGTCTGCCAATATACCTACTTTGGCTTCGATTTCGCTCCACGAGGTCTAACAGCTCTGCGATTTAGAATATCGGCGTTGAAAAACAGCTGCCAAAATGGCGGAGTAGAACATGTGGTGGTACTGGGGTGGACGAATGATCCAGAGCCACAATAGGATATCCACTGTTCAATGAAGCATTCGCGCACGCACACACACACACACACACACACACACACAAAAGATACCATACTGATGTCTGGGCTTGAACCCCAAATACTCCCATTTACTCAACTTAGTCTAGTATTTGACGGCCCATTGAAATAAGAATCTGATCCACTTTGAATTGAGCAGGTGAGCTTAGTCTTTGATTTTTACCCACTTTGGTCATGCTGACTCTAAACCGTTTGAATCTTGGCGGTACGTTTATTTCACGAAATCCCATTCTAACACGAACCCTCCGCTTTTTCTTTAAAATCACATTAAGTACATTCAGATATGTACACAATCTTGGAAATGATAATTAAAGGTTGTATGGTTCACTTGCCTGCATTTTCATACATGTACACTGCAGGTCGAGATATACCACACACTGTAGAAACCAGTATAAGGAGTTGGTGTTTGATTATGAAGGATCGTTCCACCAAGAAAAATGATGAGGATTAGTCTGACTTAGTGGGCAAAAATCTAAGACCCCATTTCCATAGATTTTAGATCGATCTATCCCTGTGGGAAGTCTCACTAGATTACTGTCAGCTTAGCCGGCTTAAGCGTCTGTCCCGCCTACTAAAAGCTGTAAGGCGGTAATTAACTATTATGCGCGCTCGGCTGACTGCAATTTAGCGTGGTCTCCCAGGGAGTTAGGTCGATCTAAATCTAAATCTCTGGATCGATCTAAATCTCTGGGAATGCACCCTAAGGCGAGGCTTACCTGTACAGAGGAATAGAAAGCGGACTCTCTATCATGGAGGCTTTCTGTCACGTTACACCGAAGCCTGAACCACTGTACATTTTGTGGTATGTGCTCACTATCCCTTTTCATCGCCCACTCTCTTTTTTTTCTCTCAGCGTGTGTGTGTGTGCGTGTGATTGGGTGTGCGCGTGTGTGTGTCTGCGTGTGTGTGTGTGAGAGAGGGAGGGCTGTCCCCCATTCATTTTGAATAAGCTATATGCATCTCCTGCTATAGGATTATTGTATGATACAAACAATATCATAGTACTGCCAAAGGCAACCATTAATCCTGAATAAAATTTGTTTACGGTTGTTAAATTGTGAACGTACACTTGGAGCAGTAGACACGTGATCTTTATGTCATGAATGTAAACATAAACATGCTCCGTAGCATATAATTAAAGGTAATCGCGTTTAATGTGTCATCCCTGATTGCAGTATACACGGCCAATTTTATTATAAGGGTTAGTTTAGGAAGTACACATCCATAGTGGCCCAGATTGAACGATTGGATACCCACTCTCTGGCAATTAAGATGTTTACACAAAGACGGTTGATTGAGAAATGTACTACCATGGTACAGCTATGTATTCACGGTTGAGGCTGAAATGAGACTTTAAAGAACAACCCAGGCATGGAATTAAAGCTGTGTCTTTAAAGTGGCGTTACAACTGTGTTTGAGGTAATGGATATATTAAACCTAAAACACAATCGTTACCACATCAGAGAAAATAACTCCTGTGTTGATGCAAAGAAACCAAGTCAACGAAAACTGATCTTTATTACCAAATACATGTACGTTAAATTTCCACAAACATGGCTGTAGGGTATATATAATATAATTGATTTTCCCTGCTCTTCCAATCAACCCTATTTGCCGATCTGTATCAAGATACTGAAAAATCACTGAAATAAAGAGCCTGGTTCACTTTGATTTGCACAAGTGAGCCTACCGGTACTGAAAAATCACTGAAATAAAGAGCCTGGTTCACTTTGATTTGCACAAGTGAGCCTACCGGTAGTCCTACACGTTAGCCTACATATGTCATGCTAACCATATAGTGTATGAATGACGGGTCACGGTGCAGTTTGTTAAACTTGCTGTGTCTCTCTTCATCTATGAGCGAGAGAGCGAAGGGGAAAATGTTGCTGACATTAAAAAATATATGTATGACCTCGCGGCACTGTGTATTTTAAGATTATACGCAATATCGTAGCGTCCTAAAACACTTTATCAGTTGACACACGTGTGCATTTCAGGTCAGTCAATGTAACCGATTGGTATTTGCGCTGTAGACGGGCAACATGGCAGACACTACTTGTTGGAAACTTTTCTGTGTCATCATGGGCCTTTTAGATGCTGCTGTCTACTCTGTCACGTTATCAGGTTGGCCAGCGTTCATGTACATATTTATAGAGGAACGGTTTTATTATTCCCGTTGCGACTTCGATACTGTAGGCAATTCTAGTGCTGATTGTACTGGTCTTGGTAACTGCACGCAAGAAACAGATGGAGAGACCCTCGTGCAAAAGTGCACTGAGCAGGAAGAGATTTTAAATCTAGTTTTCACTGTCGCTTTCGTCGGTTTAGGTTCCCTTTTTATACTTGGTTATGTCTATGATCATTGCGGTACAGTCTGTTCGAGGATCATATCTATGTAAGTATATTTCCATCACACTGCGTAAGAACAATTTTAACGTACCTTTATCTGTTGTATGAATTAAGATATAAGTAGAGCATAGACAGTGCACGCAATTCGCTCTTAATGCCACTACGCTAAAATACCGCTTGATATCAGTATCAAGAGCCCAAAAATTACTATGGGAAGCATTACAGTAGATAAACGGCAAATGTCTAATTTTGTGTCCTTTGACGTTTTCTTAAAGATGCCTTTGTGTCGGTGGGTGTCTCTTGATGGCATTGGTTGAGAGAGGTATGGCCTTAATTCTTTTTAATTGATTGTATTCAGCGTTAGTCCCTGCGGAGTTGGATCGATCTATGTAGACAGATCGCTTCGATGGAAATGGGGCCTTAGATGTAATATATTAAGATTTAACCAAATAGACTGTGCCATTAAGGGGCGAACGATTTTAACAGAAACAATCAACCTGTGCTCATGCAATAATGGATAGTGGCATTGGTCCACATTACACATTTTAACAATATGTCCAGAAATCAAAACGAAACTATCAAAATATTGCAGAAAAATTGGTAAATAATACATAGTCTTTTGTTGACAGGAACAGAATGGCTGTTATTTCCTGGTGCTGTATTCCACCTAATGGGAGGGTTACAGTTGTCAATAACCGACGTCCAGGTTGCGGTATTATTTCCGAAGCTTAAAGCGACACTCACCTGTTTGGTATCCGGTGCCAGAGACGTTAGCGGTTTTGTCCCTATTCTTTTGAAGGTATAACTTAAGCGAACTCTCACACGCTATCATACCTGTATAGTTACCTTTATATGTATGTCTGTAATTGTCTAATATATATTCAGAAACCCGGTGGACATGTCATCATGTAACAAGCAAAAAAAAAAACGAAGAGACGTTCATGTCATATAAAATTTGATATTTTGGCTGTCTGGCCTCTGTTAATTTGTGTGTACACGTTAATTTTGTTGTTTTTAAAATATAATTTGACATTTTATTAATTGTAGATGGCGTACCAGGCCGGAGTGTCGTACAAGACGTGCATGTTCAGCTTTGCCGGTATCATACTTCTTATGTCTTCTGTCAACACATTCACCCTTCCACCTAGACAGGATGACGACGGGAATAACATTGATGTAGACTGCTGTTTAAAGATGAATAAACGCAGCAGAATAACTAAGGAAGCTTCTACTGGTATTAACAAGTTTGATCAGAATGACGTGAATGAATCTACTGTTAATGAGCCGTTTGGTGAGCATCCAGTTAGGGAACCATTTTCATTAAACAAAACGAGTGATAACGTAAAAAAGTACTGACAATTTAAAGATATTTTGTGGCTAAATGTTTCAAGTCAAATAGTAACTAATCTTTTTTAGTATTTAATGCTAGAGTTTACATGGCAGACATTTTTTGAAGATATTGCACATCTTGCTCTATTTGAGGTAAATTATAGAAATTGATTTAATGTTATCAACTGCATAATATTTGTTTTTCTTTTGTGCTCGTCATTTAGTCTTACATCCTTTCTCCTTTGAATCAGTAGATACATACTTATTTCGCACAAAGCATCAAGAATGGTAGACGTCTTGAATTTCGAATTAAATCAAATTAATTCAATTGTTTAGGATAATAAACATTACATCTCTCCAAACAATTACACAAGTGAAAAAAAATACATAAGCAGTCATCAAAAAATGTAGTTTTTTGGACAGTTCACCATTTTCATTGGGGTTCTTGTTGGATAAATGACAATTTGATTAGGTTTGATTAAGTTCATGGAAGATAAATGGCCAGGTAGCTCGATGAAATGCTAGTCTATATGCTATAAATGTTTAATAACAACTTGTGTGTAGTTGTGATTCAATTTATTGTCGGTAACAAATATAGTAACAAATATATGCTGTAAAGTATAATACTCAGATAATATTTGTCTGGGGTGTGGCCTACTCCTTTAATAAAACTCTGTTTTAATTTAGAACATTTGAACACTGACTTTCCTTTGACATTGTCTTTCCAGTTCCAACAGGTAACGTCAAAGCAAATAAGGAGACAACCAGCGGGGAAGCCGGTGAAATAAATTACCAGGAAGCTTTGGATATGCACACTTCTTACCAACATTTTACCAATGTCAGCCGCAAGGAAACGTGTTTTGACGGAAGTGCCCCGTTGATTCACGGAATGGAAAACCCTGACAGTAAAGAAAATGACGAAAGCACTAACATCGGTTTATTACATGGCACGCTTCTGATTCTGAAGAGACCCATATTTTGGATGCTGTTGCTGTGGCTTACATGCCAGGGCACCGTCATTATCACATACGATGGTTGTTTTTATGCGATCATCAGTTACTATGGAAACAATGCCAAAAGCACAAGTAATGCATTAACATTGTTATAAACAATACTGGTTTAGCAAAGATGTTCATTAGCTTGGTTGTTGGATCATAAACATGAAAATTCTCAGACGCAAGCCTAAAATTTTTCCGTGCCGTTAGCTTACGGCCAACCTGGTCGAAGGCCTTCATCAGACTGACGTGAGTAGTTGTTCACACTCACTGACCGCTAGACTGTAATTCCTTTTACATTGGTGAGACAGGTACACGGTTGAAGACCTGGGCTCCGTATCTCGAAAGCATCGCGTATTGCGAATCGCTGTATCAAATAGAGACTACAATGTATTATATGGAACGAGTAAGGGCGAGTTATGGAATCGAGACGCTTGCGCACGTGCGCAACATAGCGAACCTTTCGAGATACGGGGCCCAGGGTGAGTGAACACAGGAAATCAGTGACTGTAGGCAATACCAGCTCTGCCATTTCTGAACATGTAATAGACACCGACCACAGTATCGATTGGAATTCAACTAAGGTTCCTGATTCTGAATCATCCGACATCCCGCGAAAAATACGAGAGGCTATCAACATCAGCCGACACCAGCCACCCATGAATAGGGAGGTTGATCTACCTGACATTTATAAGAGGGTCCTGGCCGCTATACCACCTAGCGGTCAGTGAGTGTGAACAACTACTCACGTCAGTTTGATGAAGGCCTTCGACCAGGTTGGCCGTAAGCTAACGGTACGGAAAATTTTAGGCAGGGGTAATCCTAGAGAGGGGTGAGAAACGTCCATTGTTCTCGTCATTGAGGCTGGCCAAATTCAGGGTATGTACGCACAGACAGAAAACCATGTATTGTGGGAACGTTACAAATGAAGCCACTGGTAGTACCAGTAGATATCAGTGTGTAGTCTTGAACAAGCACCTCGTTGATGAGTGCACAGTTGTCAAAAACAAAAGACCCAGGTATGGTAGTTCGACTACTGTTCATGCATGCCGCAAAGACCAAGCCTAATTGCCCCTCAAGGTCACAAACCAATATCCGGTACTTTCGGTTAGGCTCGTCATAATCATTTTAGTAGCGCGTTTCCACCCCCTGTTTTAGGCTTGTGTCTGAGACATTTCATGTTTAATATGGGTTTACTTAGCATGTTGTCGTAACACCTTTCTTGTTTTTTATCAGTATATCTATCGTAGTAAAATATACAACTCAATGCAGTTTGGCTGAATTATACCAGTTGTTTAAAATACTTGTTATTACTATGATAGGATAATTCTGAAATTGAACTTTTGGAGGTGTGAGTTACATAAGGAAGTGGGAATGAAAAGTCGAATCATTCATTAAGGTTCCAACTGTTGAGCTCCTGTTAACAAAAGCCTTATCATAACGCAGAGAATAGTAATTATTACTGAAATATATTCCACCTAATCCTAATTACGTTACAGTAAGTACGTATACAGACGTGTACTCCTGGCTCCAAGTGGTATCTCTGTTCTGGGCCTTGCTTACTGGTCTGATGCTTGATAAACTATTAACCAGGGCGACCCAAAACGGTAATTCACAAAAGAGTGATATTAACTGGTCTACGGGTTAATCGGTGTTCAGATTATATTTGTCTTTTTAATTTAATACCCTGTCCTTTCTGTAACATTTAATATGTGTTAAAGCATTTAAATTATATACAAATGTCGTATTTGTCTTTCAGACAAAGAGCACTGCTTCGTGGTTCCATTCTTCTTGACTGTTTTGGCAGGCGTCATCGTATCCATAGCGTGTATCATCCCCATTATCGAGATGCAGCTTGTGGCCGTTGTCTTTCATTCTGTGTTGAAAACCGGTACTTTCGCCGTGCATTTTGCATTCGTGGTATCTGCGTAAGTAAATTTGACAATGCATTCTAAGCACTTGCTCTTCCCTTTTTATTATTTTTGCTTAAAATACCGTCTTTTGTGTTCAAGATATTAAAAAAATTGCTTAGTTTGTAATCAGATGTGAAGGCTTAATACTGTTTTATCGCACATATATATGTAAGGCTAGGAATAATTCGAGGCAATTTGTGATATTTTGTTGGAAAAATCTTGTAAATAGATTATACAAGGCATTCTTGCAACGTCCTAGGCCTCACCCACTAGCTACACAAGCAATATACTTTTTTTCAGCAAATGTGCTTTCTATGTAATCCTAAATCATCAATCTGATTCAAGTTTCTCGCTCATTTTCCATTGATATATTGGTGTTACTTGCTCAGTAATAAGGACAGGTATGCATGTTTGTGTATGTTTTACTAGTTCCACTGCAAGTGACAGTCTGTGTCCAAAAGAAAATTTTCCAGACATGGCAATTTTTTTCTGGTCAACATATGGATCACTGTGAATACACCTGAGATCAATACATTCAAATTACAGTTTTCCAAAGGAACATTTTGGAAAAGCATTTGGAATTCAAGTTACCGTCAGTGGTTTGCTGACCTTTATTGAATTGCCAATATTTTCCTGGTACAAGCACAGCTTGGAAAGTGACCCACTTTGGGTATGTAAAGCAACTTCCTATACAGAGAGGGTACAGAAAATAACAGATTATGTCTTAAGTGCGTGACTAAATTGTTTTACTAGAATACTCAGTGATGCTGGACAATAAGATGTTATTTAGTTGCGTGAAAGAGGTAAAGTGTCGAAATAATGCATTTGTGGAGAATGAATGCAGTATATAATAACGATCAATCCACTGTTAAACTAAATTACCTTGACCAGCTTGCAGTTGCTTAAATTCAAGTTTTGAGGACTATATCATTAAGAAGATTTCTATTCAGAGAAAATCCAGTTGGAGACCAAGATTTTTAGTAATATATTATGATGACACTATTTTGTCTTCTAGTTGGGAGTACTGTTTCTGGGAATATGCTTCACGGCCAGCTGTTTGCCTTTCTACCTTCTTTGGCGTAAGCGTCGATACACTAGATCTAGCAACTACACGCTTTAAAACAAAGTTTTGAAAATGAAGGTCAACATGCAGGATCAGTACATGTAGTGACACAGGACTGGACGATTGATCCAATAGGATACTTAGACCACATACCCATACCTAGATCGATCTGGCAAGATCGACCGATCTCCGAGGTGATTCTAGCTCAGCGTAAACGGTTTAGATGTAAAGCACGCCTACTGAAGCTGTTAAACGATAGTTAAGTACCCCCGAACAGCTTCAATAGACGTGCCAGACATCAGAGCCGCTTACGCTGAGTGCAATCTAGCGCGAAACCTCTCATAGATGGGTTGATCCTGCTAGATCGATCTATAGGTATGGAAATGGAGTCTTAGTGTTCAAGAAGGCAAAATGATTGACTTTGATTTGCAAAAGTGACCATTGTCCTAGATTTTGACCCCCCTTATATCATGCTAACCCTTAACTGTATGAAATAAACGAAAGGCGAAACCAATCTACGAACCCTCAATTTTCGACAAACCAGCATGAAACACCTTGATGACACCAAACTGTGTAAATTTCTCATGTTCACGTATGTCTCAAAATGATAAGTAATGGACGCTCGGTCCACTTGCTATCATCACAAATGTACACTGTGCACGTAGGTTAATAGAAGTAGCACATACTGTACATACCAGTATACAAAGTTAGTTTTATATAATTAAAGACCGTTTCCGCCAAGGAAAATGTACCACTACATTAAATGCGCCCAATTGCAAAAATATGATATTAATTATAATATATTTTAGATATTGTTTCTGAATACTAGGAAAATACACAGAATGTTTATGATCCAAAGTTCGAAATAAATTGTGAGTGCCGGAGCCTGAACCACTATAGAGTTTAATTGTTATACGTTCTCTCTCTCTCGCTCTCTGTGGTGAGTGTGTGGGTGAGTGCGATAGAATATGCTAATGTTGCACTGTTTTATTTTATTTTATTTTATTTTATTTATTTATTTATTTATTTTGTTATACAGTGTATAAAGCACAACTGGAAAATCGCTTACATAGATATCCATCTACGCTGGGCAGTGTGAAAGTACGTGGCATGACCCCCAGCACTCCGATGTTAAAGGTAACATATATACAAGATAACACTAAGGGTGCTTCATTCACTTTATCAGACTTGCGACATGGCGGCCACCACATGTTGGAAGCTATTTTGCGTCGCCCTAGGTGTCTTAGAAGCCGCTGTTTATGCTGTCACTTTGTTTGGATGGCCAGCATTCGTCTATATATTCATAGAAGAGAGGTTTTACGATTCCCGTTGTCATCCCAATGCTGTTACCAATGTCAGTAATAACATGACATGTTCTCATTGTGACGGCCTTGGTAACTATACGATGCAAACAGCCGGAGAGGACCGAGTTCATAAGTGTACTGAGCAGGAAGAGATGCTCAACCTAGTATATACGGTTGCTTTAATCGGTTTCGGGGCTCTTTTTGTGCTTGGTTATTTATATGATCACTGCGGAACAGTCTGTTTGACGATCATATCTATGTAAGTATACTTTGGTTACATAACAAAGGAGCAATATGTTTAACGTGACTGTTGTTAAGATGACAGGACGACAATGATTAATCCACCTTCTTTCATTTAAGCATTTTAATAAATATGGATCCTATAAGATTGGGTCCGTATGCATCACATTTTCTACCTTTTCCTTTTCGATGGAATACCGAGCTTCACTGAGGGCTCGTGCCTAAAATTGACTACGGCGGTCATATCAGGAAGGTATTTTTTCATGGATAAACATAATAGGTCTAATGCTTGCTAATTTTTGACGTTTTCTTCAAGATGCTTTTTGTAATTTGTTGACGTTTCCTTTAAGCTGCCTGTGTGCTGGCGGGTTTTTCCTCATTGCCTTAGCTGAAAAAGGTATGGAAATACCACACATCATTTTGTAACAATAACGTTTACAGCAATCTGAATGTCAGAAACCAGTGGTGATACATGAAACAAATAATGTGAAAATGCGGAACGATCGCGTTTGGTTTTACATAGGCATAGGGAAAATACTTCTTTTATTGTGGAGCCAGGAAGAAGAGGGGGTTGGGCAACTGTCCAAACCCGAGCCTCAGATATCATCGTAGAAAATAATACTGTATGTTTAACTTGGTTCAGTTTACTGGACATTTTTTATCCTTGCCCTCAACTTCTTCTTCTCAAGTTAACGTATGTATATGAATGTAAGGTGTCGCCCAGGATAAAATTTGAAGGGAACACCCACCAGGCTTGCTATCTTCAATTTATCGTTTGTACTCAATAATTGCAAATATGAATTAGGTGCGTGTGACAAACACTTGCTGAAAATATAGTCAGTAAGAGTATGCGGTTGAATATATTTGTCTTCGAAAGCAAAATAATTCGAAGTGGTAGCAACGAAAACGTTAAAAACGAATTCCAAACCGTAGTGAAATTAAGAAAGCTTTGCAGATCGAAATATCGGGAAAGTGATCATGATACAATGAACATTGTCAATTTTGATAGGGACAGAATGGCTGTTATTCCCTGGGGCTGTATTCCACCTGATGGGAGGTTTCCAGTTGGCTTTAACTGACGTCCAGGTGGCCGTATTTAATGCAGCATACACGTCTAATGATGCACTTGTGTAATTGTTCAATATTTAAAACTAGCTCACATTTTCTTCATGTCAACAATTTAAGTATGGATACCATGTTTTTGATGGATGTATTAACTTTTGGCTCACTAGAGAGGGGTAGTACGTTTTTTTACTCGTCCTTTAGATAAGGCCACACTTTTTTAATTTTATGGATGACATCCTGCGCGCGCACGGATTTTCACACGTTCTCCAAAAAAAAAAAAAAAAGCCCCCCTCCCCCAGCCCCCAACGAAGTCGGTTGTCGCAAACGTCGTTATTGAATTTGCCAGGAAATGAGCTTTCTGCGCATGCGTATTATCGCCACGTGGAAATGCGGCCGCTTTGCCGTCAAATTCATCTCTAGGATTACTTTCAAATTACACAACAATAAAAGTCATAAAGAGAACGGGCGCCGTCGTTTTGGATTGGTATGTAATTGATATTGGGCATGGAGATATCACCTTTTTACAATTGTGCGAAAGGCTGGCGGCGGCCAGCAATTATCGCCCGAAAAATTTCTGTGACATTCTGTACAAAGCAGCACATTAATACTAGGTTTTCTGTAGCGAAAAAAGGGTCGACAAGGGCGTCGAGGTATTTGGTGGGCTGAAGGTCGGACAGGCCACCTGACAGTTTGGCTGCTTCGTGTGAGTTGAAGTAGACAAAATGGCATCGTCCGAAATGTCCTTTAATAGATTTGGTAGTATTAAGCATATCTTTGCATCNTAGAGGATGTCATCCATAAAAATAAAAAAGTGTGGCCTAAAGGTTTTATATTTGATTTTTAGAATTTAGGACCAGTTGCTTTCATTTTTTCTCCTTGTAAAAGAAGGCTGTAGGAAACACTTGACACCAAGTAGGCTACCATTGTTTTAATTTGTTAAGTATAAATAAAAATATGATTTAAGTAATTCAACAGAACAAATGATACGGGGATCTTCAGCCCACTACTAGAAAATGAGAAAATGAAAAATGAGCTTTTTTTTCAATTTGACACGTTTAGAATGTGACTATTCTATGAAAACCCTCTCTCCAGCCCTAACTGGTAACGTCAATGCAGATGGGATGGCAACAGGTGGGGAGGCCAATGAAAGAAATGACCGCCAAGCTGTGAATATAAGCACTTCCTGTAGTCATAAGGATAAAGCCAACCATGAAGAAACGTGTGTTGACGGAAGTGTCCAGATACCCCACGAAAAACACAACAAAAAAGATGGTGAGAGCACCAACATAAGTTTACTACGTGGTACGCTATTCACTGTCCAAAACCCTACATTCTGGATGCTGCTGTTGTGGCTTGTATGTCAGCACACCCTCATTGTAACATACCAAGGCTGTTTCTATGCGATCATAAATTACTATGGAAACAATGTTAAGAGCACAGGTAATATAGCTATGCATACTTTGCCCACATAGGTAATATACTAGTTACTTCATAAGCATGTTTTAATACAATGTACATAGCTCTCACGATCTCTCAGTAACATCACTCCAGGTTTTTTCATCTCGTTCATTGAATAGAACCAGGTTGTACTCTGGTTTCTTAAACGTTTCTGCTATGTTGCCAAGGCAACCAAAGACGGTAATCAACAAACGGATAATATTAACTGCCATTCTGTCTTTAAGTATATAAACATAATATTATGCATATTTGCCCTCTGAAATATTTATTGAAGAATCGACATTGAAGTGACAGTACAATATTTTTCACGACAACCACACAATCGCCTCTTCGGCATTCTCTGATAACTAGCATTTTCTGAACAAGTCTATTTAATAATAATAATAATAATAATAATAATAATAATAATAATAATAATAAAGTATTTATTGCTTCTTTATTTTGGGAATAAACATGACTCTCTGTTCCTGCGCTATGTATTGAAAACATACATTACTCTCATACACATATCTTAACATCTTTAAGACAAAGAGCGATGTTTCGTGGTTCCATTTTTCTTGACTGTTTTGGCAGGCGTCATTGTATCCATAGCTTGTGTCATCCCCATTATCGAAATACAGTATGTGGCCATATTCTTTCATTCTGTGTTGAAAACTGGGAGTTTTGCCGTGCATTTGGCATACGTGATATCTGCGTAAGTGAATTTCATAATCCGTTCTCAGAATTTGATTTTACTAGCTTAATTATTCTGAAGGATACAGGATCTACAAATGTTTAATCTGTGAGCAATTGTATTAATCTGTAATAACCTTTCAACCCTCAACCAATAGTTACAGAAGCAAGAAACTTTTTCACTACATTCTAATATGCATGTGGTAATGCTGAGGCGTAGAGTACTTTGAAAATGCCCATTGACCAATGGGTATATTGTATCATCAAAACAGATACCCAACAAACACGTCACGTTCGGATCACGTGGCTAGCAACGTCATAGCAACGTGCTACGTACCCCACGCGATCCGAAAATAACGTGATTGCTGGGTAAATTACAGGTTTCCGAAGGAACATTTTGGAAAGGCTTTTGGCATACAAGTCACCGTAAGTTGTTTACTGGGCTTTATTGAACTACCAATATTTTCCTGGTACAAGTACAGCCTGAAAAGTGACCAACTCTGGGTATGTATAGCAACCGCTGTTGGCATTCATCATGGCATTGTGTATTCTGAAAGGGT